ATGTGCCTGATTTCACTCTGATAATCTCTGTTTCTTCGGGAAAAAGTTCCCAGTGCATGTGATGGCTTGAGAGAATCTAGTCACGCATTACAAAGGACTCTAAAAGAAAACTTTGAACAACACAAACCAGACATTTATTTTAAATAATTATTTCCTAGGTGCTAATTTTAAACCTTCTTCTGTTTGCACAGAAGGTGCTGCTCCTTTGACTCGTGACTTGTAAAGGCAGAGCTCTCTCTTCCTCTCCAGGTTCCCGCCGAGCACAGCCCCTCCCAGTTTTGAAGACAGTCTGACAAAGACTACTGTTTTTCTAGGGGCTCAGACCCCGATCCGGAACCGGGGTCTTTTGCTGCATATCTGCACCATTTCTGCGGGGCTTGGTGTTGAGCTTGACAAGCCAGAGCTACCCCTCTCTCCCATCAGACAGCCTGGTATGTGTGACCGAGCTTCCGCCTCTACTTCCTACTGGATACCGCCCTCGTGAGCTGACGCCCTGCCCTGAGCCCCAGCCCACTTAGCCGGCCAACCTGGCTCTGTCAGTTCCCAGCCCGTGGCAGTGAACAGAACACGGCTAGTCAAACAGCTTCAACTTTCAGTGCTCTTCGGGGACAAACTTGTTTGCTGAAGATTAAGGCTGAGATCAAGGTTAACTCACAGCAGGGAAATGCTTACAGTGAAACAGTAACCCCAAACGAACTTGTGTCAGGCCTAACTATGTGTTGCCATCCTGTACTGATTGCCACCATATTGATTCATTATATTGGAGAGCAGTTGTTTCAATCAAGTCCGAAACCACTGGCCCACTCAGCAGTCGATCATCTTTCTAGATGGGCTCCTGAGCCACAGCTGATCCCAGCTTCCCGCCCTTTGCCTCCAACCCCTACGACAAAATCTCTGCCCGGCTTGGTGCCATTTCCTCCGAGACTGGACTTGCTAGAGTTTCCCTTCATGGGAACCAGAGTTCGCAGATAAATCTAAGGATGAGAGACCACAGCGACCCTCTCCAAGCTGCCTCGAGGCTCCCGCCTGGTTACAACACCAAGTTTAGCGTCCTTTAACTGAGGTCCAGGAGCTGCCATCGGCTCATCAAAACACGATGTCCTGGTGCCATTCTCCAGCCCTCATTCCCCTAATGCTGTCATTTCCGACTAAAAAGGTTTTTATTCGGTGTGTCTGTTTGCCAAAGCCTATATAAATCAGAGTGCGCGCTTTGCAAGGCTTAGGTTTGATTAATCTTAAAAAATTGAGACGCTGCATGAGTGGGGTTTGAGATTAAGTGTGCAAAGATGTTAGGAGCGGCCTCCCCACCAGCCTCCAGATGGAGATGGATGAGGGGCAGCGCCGGGTTTGAGCTGACCGTAATTGAAAAAGTGTGTGCCCCAAATACCATGTTGATCCCGCATTTCTCTGAGAGCCATAACTCTAAGGCCTCTCCTTGGAAGCTCGATAAGGTGAATGTCTTCAACTGTAAGGGTCCCAGATCCTCTTGGCACTTATGATCCTTAGAGACCAGGGTTAGGGATGCTGAGAATAAAAGGTACTGTGAAGGAGGAGGGAGCGAATTCCCCAAAGGCACATGGGCCCTTGGATTCCCTGGGCGAGCAGCACAGAACCGAAGAGTAGCATCTGCAAACAAGTGAACGCCGGGAGTGCCAATACGAGCCACATGGATCCCGGGAGGCTCTGCCCGTGGCAGCCACCGCGGTTCTTCCAGAAGCAGCCAGGACACACCCAGAGCTGCCAGGCACCCAATTCTGGGCCTCCATTCACGCCCTTGTCTACGTAAGTGAACGTGGTCCCTCAAGCCCTGTGATATGATGGCTGTGAGCAGTGGCAGCCACAGGAGAGACCAAAATGTGGGGGCCGGGGCAGGATCACAGGGCTTTCGGCCCCCTCTCAGGCCCGAAATGGTGCCAGTGGCACCTTCAGAAGAAGCCGAGGGGTGGCCCTCACACGGGCACTCAGCAAACAGCAAGCAGGAGTGGGCCGTGCAGCCCTGTGCACACTGCTGTGAGGAATGCGAACACGTGAGAAACACGGACCGCTCCGAAGGAGCGTGCGGGGACGCGCGGCGGTCACCTGCCAACACCTCACCTGCCGCTCAGTCCCTGACCGCCCAGCCCCTCCGTTCCCACCTTCCCCACTCCTGCTTCTGCAACGCCTTTTGTTTTAAATGACATGTTGCAGATCCCAAAATAAAAACCATCATCGGTTAGACCCTGGACCACGAATCTCTCCAGAAAATTAACTTCGTTCTTTGCTCCTTCTGGAATACTTAAACGCTGACATTTAAAAGTTCTAGTGTTTTCTGGGAGTGTGTATTCACAGCCATCACCCATACACAAATAATTCAGAGGACATTTCTAGTCAAGCACAGGCCCAAAGCGATAAAAGCAACTTTCAGTGTGAATCATAAATGAAATTTGAATATTATAAAGTTGCCAAGAAGCTTGGCGTGGCATTTTATTTCCGTTGCAGGTCTGTGACTAAAGGTCATGCACAGTCGTGAGCAGAAGAGTCTGTGAGGAAAAGAGCAGTGGTTGGGGCTCCTTGGTTTTCTTTTCGAAGGGGGAAAACAGGGCTGCGCATCTACCTGAGGGGCTCACAGGGTTCACGTGACTATTCTTGCAACTTACTCAGAGGTTTAAATTTTTATAAGATAAAAAGTTAAATAAAACAAAACAAAAAGCCATCTTCCCACTAAATGCCTAATTCTGAAAACATCCCCATCTCCCACAAACATAAGCAAACAAGACGAAGAGAAGAGTGTGGCACCCCCCCCCAACCCTGCTTGGCTCGGTCCGGGTCTCTGTGTGCCCTGAAATTCTTCTGCACTTGTTGAAAAGCCGCATAGGGGCTGCTCAGTCAGAAGTCTGGCCACTTCAGATCAGACCAGATGACAGACTGACAGCATACACCAAGGGGTGCTTTTGTCCTGGACCCCCCCAGAGGACAGAGGAGGGGCCCTGCCAGGCCCACAGGTGTAGCCGCATATTCCCGACTGGGTGAGGAGCCGCAGTCAGAAATTCTTTTCCGAGGGGCTAAGAACCCAGCATATGTGACTGATTAGAGCTAATATCTCATTTCTAATTCCATTGATTCCTTGAAAAGAGCAAGTCCCAGAGACCATGGCTATACTTAGCAGTTTCGACTCCTCCCCCACTGCTCACTGCCTCTGAGCAGGAGGTGGCCAGCAAGGACTCGGGCCCTCGCCCAGCATTGTTGGGGCACTGTGTCTGTCCTACGCACACGGCCAGGCAGGGCACCGCAAACCCGCCCACGGGCCTCCCCCGCTTCCCGTCTCTCCCATTTCCAAGCTGTGGCCGTGGCAAAGCCACCATTAATATCGAGAAGACTCCTCTCTGGGCCCGAGAATTCTCCAACGTCCAAAATGCGTTCCTTCTCCTCGGCCTTTCCACCTTCTATGGCTTGGTGGGGAAGCCTCTCCATGGCCTTCCTTTCTGTTACCACAGGAAATAAAGAGAAAGCCTAGCCCCATCCACCCAAATAAAAGATTTTAGTCCTCAGAGTGGATTTTCCAGTGCAGACACAGCAACGTCACAGGAAGCCCGACCCTCGTGGCCCTCGGAACAGAGCTTGCTCGGCCAGCCCTGCCGAGCGGAGCTGGCTCCACGTGAAGCCCGGCCACTGTCCCTGTGGTAGCCTCAGCGCAAGCGTGAAGCTGCGCTGCGTTGGTCACATGGGACCCCCCGCAGCACTCTCCAGGACAGCCAGCCTTGTCTTTGGGGGCCCTGTGTTGTCACGGACCATGCCTCGAACCCGGAACAATGACCTGATGTCTAGTTCCAGCCCTGCCACCGAGTAGCTGTGCGACCTCGGACAGGTCTCCTGATTGCTGTCTCTTTTTCTGCATCAGTGAGATCAAGAGGCTTAAACCGGAATCCAGTGTTTTCTGAAGGGCACAGAGAAGGGTCTGCGTCGGTGTTGGTTTACCCTTAAGATTCCCACCCGGGTGCCAAAGGCGACCATGCATTTCTGCATTTGGTCTCTTTTCTTATGACTCTGAAAACATACTAAGCTGAATGCAACCTCATGGTTCACATTTATACAGCAAAAGTCAGCGCCCCCAAA